TATGAATTAACTTCCTTATATGATTTAATTCATCTTGGTGGAACAAAATGACCCATGATATGGACGAATCAATAAATTTACATAAATTAATGGGGTAAAATAGTAAAAGATCAAGAGATAATTGTAATAATAATATTGAGTAGATTAATATAATAACGTTACAAGAGTTTTGTAAGAATAGAACATGATTTATCTAAGTTATGACATAAGCTTTTTATACAAGGAAAGTATAGCAAACTTAGCTAAACTCAAGGTCGGGGTGACCACGACGGTTCGAACCGTAATCGTCACTGTAATAATCGAAACCGAACCGGAACCGTTCGTACGGTTCAAGTTCCGATTCCTAACTGGAACCAATACGATTCTGGTTAAAGTATGTGAAATAAAGGACCTTGAACCGCCGGTTTCGATTCGGAACCAGACGGTTCCGATTCCAAACCGAAAAAAAAATTTAAAATGATGGCTGCAGGCCTTAGGCTTGCAGCATACTGCCTCACTGCCACATTGGGTAGTGGGTAGTGGTGCAAAGACCAAAGAGGCAATGGTCTCACTTTTTCACTTTTTCTTTTTTGTTCTTTTTTTTTTTTTAAATCCGGTTAGAACCGACGGTTCCAATCAGAACCGTCGGTTCATAAACCGGAACCGGATCCGTACTATAAGGTTCCGGTTTCGATTTGGTCATTTGCGGAACCATAACAGGAACCAAGGTCACCCCTAACTCAGGGGAAGCCGTAGGAACGGGTTAAAGCCTAGTTGGATGCCCTGGGTCGACCCCAGGTGGCCAAGTCGCATACATCGGTCAGAATTGCCTTGGTCCGAATTGCCTTGCTTGGCCCGAACCACCTTCGTCTCGATCGCCTTCTTTGGGCTCGGGTTACGTTCTTGGTCTAGCTGGTTGCCTTCTTAGATCCTGGGTTTCTCATTCTTGGATCATTTGTAATATCTATTTAACATATATATATATATATATATATATATATATATATATATATATATATATATATATATATATATATATATATAACATCATTTCATATATTTTCCTTAATTAAGTGTATTTAGGCAGTTTTATACGCATACAATTTGTGTTAAGCTGAGTTAATTGCATTCAATTAAAGTCATTGATGAACTCTGTGTTCAAATAGTAAACAATTAGGGTGCGTTTTGGAAACCCGGAAAATGACTTCTCGAAAATATTTTTTGATTTTCAGTGTTTAGCAAGAGAGGGGGAAAATGAGGTCAATGAAAAATCATGCCTTAGTCAAAGGAAAATAGGTATGTTTTGGGGAAAAATGACTTTCCCTTTTTTTTTTTTTTTTTTTTTTTTTTTTAGGTGAAGTCATTTTCCAAGGGTTGCTCATGCAAATTTTGTCAAAATAGTGGGGTTTTAGTTAGAGCTGTCAATACGGGCTGGCGAGACGGGTAAAAAAAATATGCTCTTAGGCGGCCCTGGGTTTTACTTGCCCAGCCAGCCCCACCCCTGGCCTGTGGGCTAGGCGGGCCCCCTCCACTTATAAAGTCCACATTCTAAAATTTTAAAATATTAAACTAGGGTTATGGTTATCACTTATTAGGTCATAATTAGATTTTATAAAATATTACTAGTTTTTTTTTTTTTTACGCGCTTTGCGCGAATGTGATAATGCACAATGATTATTTTTAAATAAGTATTTCAAAGTATATCAATCAATATTATATAGGAGATTTTTATGCATAGGTAAATAAATGCTGAATTTGTTTATTTAAATCGGTAATTTAAAGTATATTAAATTCAAGATAATATATGAGAGATTGATTATAATTGTCACTAAAATAAATGTTTGCAACTTTGTAATAACGTTAGTCTAAATACTTAGTCTTAAAGCAATAGTTTAAATAAATACTACTTTTGGTTTAAATTTCTCTAATTCTTGTTAATTCTCTTTTGGTAGCATTGTTGTTGTTTTCATCTTCAGTACATGTGTTGGTCCCGGTAGGTTATAACGAGAGTCTAGAGGGGGGGGGGGGGGGGAGGTGAATAAACTCTTTTCAGATTTTTGCAAGTAACAACCTTTCGACGTTACAGTGCAATGGAAATATTGAGTTAGTTTTAAACACTTTGCACAGTTTGACGTTTTATGAAGCTTTCGGTTTGGGCGCGTATGATGTTATGATGTGGAAAATAAGTTGCGAAAGATAAAGAGATAGGGAGACGAGAGTTTTATAGTGGTTCGGCCAACTTTGCCTACTTCCGCTCTTCTTCCACAACTTATGGAAGGTTTGCACTATCACTCGTTAGTACAAATACACAAGAAGCTTCCTTGATCACTAAGCCGGACAGCTTCTTGCAGGTTTTTCAACTCCGCGAGTTTACTTTGCCTCTATCAACGTCTTCTTCAGAGTTGAGGTTGGTAGAAAAGGATTCTGATTTCTCCAACGTGGTGAAGTCTTGATTGAATGGAGGATGATCACTTCTTCTAAGATCCAAGACTTCTTCAAGGTGGAAGATAAGAAATAATGAACTTCTTCAAATATCTTCACGCCTTGACACTGGTTCACAAAAAGCTTGATGAGTACTTTAATATTGCTTAAGGGCTTTTTGCTTGAGAGTGTTGTCGAGTGAAAAGAACCAGCACCTTCTTAGTTGATGAAGGTGGGTTTATATAGGTGAGGGAAATTTCATCCGTTGAAGGGATATGAAATTTCAAACCTAATATCCAGTGGGTAAGGACCGGGGAGCTTGTTGCATTAAATGCTCCATTAATGTGGTTTGTACCTTATAACCGTTGAGGGCATGGATAGGCTTAGGGTTTTGTCTTTTATCTTCAAGGATGGTACAACTTCATTTAATGCTCCTTGGTATGTGTGTCCCACATGTTAAGGTCCTTTTTGTTCCTAGGATGGTTAGACAGCTCAGACAGAAGAGACATTCTTCTTGTTGTAGAAGAGAATGAATGTCTTAATAATCGTCATAAAGGTAGCTGTCTCTTCGAGGTGGTTGATATCCCTTGATGAACTTTCGTTGTTGACGCTTCAGTCTTCTTGCTTTGTGTCTCTTTTCGTCTTGATAGCCCTAACAAGAGAACATAACTCGTTTTCGTGTGTTTGTCTAGCTTAACACGAATTACAATGTGAGTTATGGCAACTTTCGTCTAGAACGAAAGCAGCAATTAAAAATAACGACGGTTAGGGGTCTACATTCTAGGTTACATTGGTATCATCAAAATCCTAATACAAGTGTTCTAACAATTTCCCCCTTTTTGATGATGCCAAAACCTATACTCTTCTCATAAAGCTGATAAATATCCTATAAGGGATTCTTTATTTCAAAATAGCCATTACTGAGAGTTTACAAGCCATTTCTAGATAAATGCAAATAACAAATAAGACACTGACAAGAACTTGGACAAGTAACACGAGATGTGTAACAACGAAAGATTTATATAAAGATAATGAAGCTTACAAAAGATTAAGGAGGACAGAAAGAAAAGCATCTTACAATTCTAAAAGGTTCATCTTCTGCTGCTTGGCCTTCTCGTATTCACGAACATCTCTCTCTTTTTGTTCCTTGAGCATTTTGTCGGTGTCAATATCTTTATTGATTCGCTCTCTGGAAACTTTGATTGGGTTCTCCCTAACCAGACTTTCTTATTTTCCCTTGATGTAGAGGCTTATGTAATTATTGTAGGCTTCAAGAATGTTTTCTCCCTCAACAATTCCTAACTTCCACCACGAGATAAGCTCGAAAGAGTTCATTCCTTCTGTATAGCTTTATCCAGATTCGGCATGTACTTTGAAAGCTGCATTATAAATGACTCCATGTTCAGAGCTTCTGGTCACTTTCGTGAGATCTTTAATCAGCTCTTTTACCCGCCCTCTTTCGTGAAGCTCTTGTTCTCATCTACGAGTTTTTTCCTCATGTTTTTCCCATAGCTCTCTATTCATCCTTTTGATCCTTTCATTCTGAGAGCTTATGTGATGTTGTCTTGTGTGATTGTCCTTTGTCTTCATCCAGACAGGAACGTTGCAACCCTCAAAACGTTTCCCTCTCCCTTCTTCATATGGTATGAAATCCACAAAGTTTCCCACGCCATCCATTGTAACTTTTCTATCTTTCATAAGCCTTTGTCTTAGACTCGTTCTTTGTCTCTTCGATAGACCACTGAAAATGTACTTGGACTCAGAGCCGAGATATTGGCGAGGCTTGATAGAATGGTGTTGGGATTGCGAGTGTTGATGACCACGAGAAAAATGATGATCTCGAGAAGGTGGAGGCGGAGGGTTTGTGCTTCTTCTTTCAGAATCTCTTTGTGCAAAAGATGGAGAATGATTTCTTGTGTTGTCTCTAGGATGATCATCATCCTTGTCATCAGGGTTCCTCTTTTCCCCCTTTTTGGCATGATCGGCACAAGCAGTAGGAGGAGTGGACAACTTGTTGACTGTAGTCAAAGTATCTTACACATATCCAAGAATTTGAAAAAGATACTGGCCCATTTGACATGCATTGTCATGTGAAGTCTCCATCTTTGTGCAAGCTAAATCAACACGCTCTTTGAGGCTATAATGCGAGTGCTTGAGTTCGTGTTGTTGCCTTGCCACTTTGTTGACAGATGTGTGAAGTTCATGAAGTTCCTTTGCCAAGTGGTCATTAGGCTGCTGTTGGGTGGAGCTTGTGGTGGTGGTTGAGGTTGATCTTGCAGTGGAGAGCGAGACTGAGCTTGAGCAGCCATTTGTTGGGCCAGCATCTTAGATAGGTCATCCAAGGTTTGGGTGTCCCTTCGTCGAAGCGTTAGGTATTCTCAGTGAATGACTTCGGCTGTGTGAATAGTTTCTCTCATAAAATTCATGACATGGTGTGGAGATTCTTCTTCAATATTCGTTGGTGAGGTGTCCATTTGTTCCGTTTGAGGTGGTGCTTCCATTTTGCCACCACTGGCTGAGCTTATCAAGATAGGTGAGGCATCCAGGTTGCCCTCACGAAGGATTGCACCTTCTCTCTTGATGGGAGTTTCGTCCATAGGTTAAACATGGGGGACGATAGCACGAGACAAGTTTTCAGGTTGAGTATTTGAAGTTTCGTCATCCTTGAGTGATGCTTCCCTTTTGTCATCACTTTGGGAGGGAGAGTTGTGTGATGAGGATTCTTCGGGTATTGTTGAATTGTAATCCGGATTGATCAAGAGAGGGGAATCACTGTCATAGTTCGTGTTACCCCCATTTTGATTGTCATCATCATCAGCATCATCATCATCATCATTCTCATCATCTGCATCAGCATCATCACTATCTTCATCTTCTTCATCTTCCTTTTCTTCTTCAGATTCATCATTGATTTCTTTGCCATTTTCGTCCTTTGATCCACTGACTTTGCAATTGGGATCGTTCTGGTGCGATTTTTCTAAGTCAGTTTTGATTTTGGATAGGAGCATTGCGTAACGAAGCTCCTTCATTTCTTCAACAAATGCTGGATCCAGAGGAGGTTTGTTGAGCTCGATGCATAGGGGTGCCTTATCCTTTCCGAGAGTGCGATTGGTCACTTTATAAGAGTACACTCGTTGAATTGTTTCAAGACGGAGTGCTTCATAGACATCTTTCGTGCCAACCCACTCTAGGGAAAATTTCTCTTCTTCCTTCATTGCTTCGGCTGTTTCAAGTAGGAGTGTCTATTGAGGTTGTGCGCCATTTCTGCCATTGCATTACTCGGTTGTTGTCAACCTCTATAGTCTCTCGAAGTAATTGATCTGGTGATGAGGGATAGGCACAGCTTTTGGTGGTGTTACCACTGCTTTCGGATCAACAACTGTATCATCTACCAATGCAGGTTCTTGTGTCAGAGTACCCGGTACCTGTTCTGCAAGGGTAGGTTCTTGTGGTAGAGAACTTTCGGTAGGAGGGACGTCAGCATCATTCGTGTTGGCAATCACTTCTTTCGTCTCTTCTGGCAAGCCAGGTTCTTGTGGGAGACTTAAGTGATTGACCTCCTTTTCCATGACAACAGGTTCTTGTGTCGAACGTGGAGAGGTTTGTTCTGCTGAGATGGGTTCTTGTGGTTGGAGGCTTTTCGGAGAGATGGGATCTTGAAGTTTTGAAGAGGACCTGTGCTTTCGTTTCTTTGAAGATTTGGATTTTGCTTCCTTTTTGGATGATTTATCTTTCGCCTTTGACTTCTTCTTGGAGGAGGATATTTTCGGGTTTTCCTCATCTTTCTTTTCTAAAGAGGCTTCTTTCGACTTATCTTCCTCTTGGGAAGATTTTTCCGTCGTCTTTTCTTCCCCCTGGGAAGATACTTCTTTCGTTCTATCTTCCCCCTGGGAAGATACTTCCTTCTTCTTGTCTTCCCCGTGGGAAGACGCTTCATTCATCCTGGTACCTTCCTTCGCAGAAAGAGGTGTGCTAGATTTTTCCTTTGCGGGAGACTTATTCTATACCTTTTGTCCGAGAACGAAGAGAACAAGATTGTCATCGTCAGAAGAGTTTTCCACAATGATTGGATCCACTGATAGAACAGGTGGAGTCTGAGTTATCATTTCTTCTGGATTTGCGATTGGAGTAGGAGATGGTTCCTCAACAGCAGCTTCTTTCGTCTCAACACGAAGCGAACTTTTCTCCCTCTTCTGTCATTTCGGCTTAGGCTGATCATCTTCTGAATCCTTCGCCTTTTTAGACTTCTGTTTAGCTTTGACCAGCTCCAAAGGTATATCCAGTTCCAAAGCTTTCTGCTTATCATAGCCAGTGGGCTTGTGCTGCATGTGACACGCCTTAGGTCCAGGCCTCATTCCTGGTCTCATAGGGATTCGCTTTGTGGTGAGGAGGTGACTAACCAAGAACCCATAGCCCATTTTCTTCGTGATATCTCCAGGGCTTTTTCTATTGAATGTGATGACGTGTGGGAGGTTATTGAAAATTATTTTCGACCAGTCCACCTTGTGATCATGGAGAAATGCGTGCAGCATTTTGAGCTTTTCTTTTGTTATATCGTTTGTCCCCGATGTCTTGTGTTCGACAAGCTTATTGAAGATGTCCACTGTGAATTCGTAATCCAAACGGAACCACTTCTTCTTCAAAGGCCATGTGATTGCAGTTGGACCTTGCTTGTTTTTGATAGATGCATAGAAAGCATCCTGATCATAGTGATAGAATGCAAGATTGGACTTGTACGACTCGTCTCTCTGAGGGAATTCATAGGCAGCTCTAATATCCTCCGACGTGACTGTTACTACTTGATTGTTAACTCTCGAGGTTATGGTAAGTGCTTCCGTAGAAACAGAAGCATTCATATAACATTGTGCGACATCCGTAGGAAACCAAAAAGAGTACAGATGTACAACAAACTTGTACAAACCAGTTTCATTGAGTAAGTTGATGATCTTTTCTCTGAAATCTCGATCAATGACATACTTCAGGAAGCCATGCGCATCCCGCATGCTTCCACCGGCAATGAGAGGAATCCGAGATTCAATAAAAGCAGTATTGTCTGTGGGAAAGGTAGGTATCTCCAGTGTGGGTGGTACTTCAGGTTCAGCTTCGGAGGGGGTAACTGTGGGTGACTTCGCCATTTGAGAGGTTTAGGATACAGTAATATTTTAAGGGCAGATTTGAGATGAGGAGTGAATGAAAGAGATGAAGTGTGGTATGAAGAAGGTTTATGTAGGGTTTTCTTGGGTCTCGGGTATACAAGGAACGGGTGACCCATTTTAGTTATGGATTATTTGAATTTCAAAAATAACCGGTTCCACTTCTTCTAAATAGGTAACTGATCAGGTTATGGAGATTTGATAAGATCATGCTCAGATCAGTTTTGATCATTCCTCATTAAATGAGGAGAGAGAAAATCACTCGAGTGCATATGCATGCATTAAATGCGCGTCAGTTCAACTGACAAAGATCATGGGGTAGTGGACCATCTTTCTCGGCCACACGATGTCCATTATGAAGGATTTTAACGGTTTAGATGATCTTTTAGGATTTGTATCTTCTTGAATACGACTGAAAAACCGAAACATGAAAGATTACACTTATCACAACGAACGATCCATGAGACAAATAAAGTCTCGTGAACCTTTACGGAACATATAACGAGAATACATAACATAGACCGAGAGATGTTTATTACACGAAACATAGATAGTAGACACTGTGACTTCATCTCTCGAGGTCCAAGGCGCACGAATTCTCACTCCTTGGCATCCTTCTGCTTTCGGGAATACTCAGTGTATTCCTTCTTGAGAACTTCAAGAGCAAATACTTCATTCACAATAGTTTCGTGGTCTGTTCCCATAACGTCTCTTGAGAGACCTCTCTTTTTCATATCATCTAATTCAGCCTTGACGTGAGCTTCAGCAGCAGCATGAATAGCCATGAATTTTTCGTCAGTTTTGAGTTGCGGTGCAAGCTTCACAAACGAGAGAAATTGGGAAATGCTCGAAGCCTTGGTGGATCCATCATTTGAGGATGACCCTTCCAGTAGTGAGTTGTTGAAAACATGACGAGGATCGTTCTTAGATCGAACTTTCTTAGACAGACTCCCCATTGTAAGACACATCTCTTTCTCTATATCCATGATGATATTAAGTTAGAGGAGTGAAGCCATGTTTCCTAAGAAGGTCCTTTATATAGACGATAATTTCATCAAAGGATGTGACCCCGAATGACAGGGCATTGAGATAACCAGCACGCTTAAAAGAATATATTCATTTCCAAGAAAGGCAGGCGTGGTTAGAGATACTTTGGCGAAAGTGCAAACGAAACAACTAAAGTTTCGTTCAACACCTATGTAAGCCCGAAATAAGATAATTAATACTGAGAGACTTTTATTAATTCAAACAAGAGGAGATACATATAGGATAATACATAACAGCAAGATCAATTTTTCTTCCTCTCTTCACTCTCATGCTCACGAGATACAGCTTTTGGCTTCTGAAGTTCTGCCCACATCCTCTTGTACCGTTTTCTGGTACGCAGAATGTTAGAGTCTGAAGACGAAGTAGGTTCTTCTTTTTCCTCAGATTTGATCTCTTCCTTGAGATAGTTGACATAGTCTTTGTCATAATACTTGTTGGGTAGATCAGTAGGGGTTTTCTCTTGTTGAGGGACTTCCTCTTTAGGAGGAGCTTCCTCAGGTTCCTCAACAATGAAGCCAGCCATCTCATCATACTGAGATGATGAATCAGTATCGGAGGAGACCTCTAAGGGTGCTTGAAGACTGTTACCAAGGTATAGGTCTCCCTGTTCTTCCCTAATTTTCCTGGCGAGTTCTCTTTGTTTTCGAGAATCTCCCCTGGTGAAAGGCTTTTTAGGAGCCATTTTGGAGATAGAGATGGTAGAGAAGAATGAAATTTATTCCCCTTTTATAGGTATAATGTGAAGAGATATCGATGTAAAACTGCCCTCAGCATTCAATGCTGTAATTAATACCCATAGATTTCTTCAACTGACCATCAATGTCGTAGAAGACTTTGAATAGATATTTTCTAGAATTTTATGATTCCAAGGTCAGAGAATTGATTCCAAGACGTACAAATATCTGACAGACAGAGATTCATGCCTGATAGTTTATTTCATAATTTCACGAGACATAGATGAACAGGAGGGCAGAATTAAAGATAATTATAGAACATATAACAAAGAAATTTTCATTTCTTCGCCTTTCCCTTCCTTGTCTTGCTAGTTTCGCCTTTGGACCCTTTGGGAGACTTCTCTGTTGTAGGAGCATTTGAACGGGATGGTCCATCGGGGATGTGCTTTTCCTCATCAGATTCACCTTCAATGTAGCCCACAAGATCAGTCTTGCAATCATAGGTTCTAAAGAACTCCCGAAGGTCCCTGTCCATAGTGGGACTGTTCCAAGTGTCCAGATATAGAAATCCCTTTTTAACAATTAGAGGAGATTCCTCATTTGGATCAAATGACCTGGCATCTTTTTCAGCACACCTCTTGATGAGTTCGTCAAAGTCCTCACTTTCTGAGTCAGATGAGATATCCAGAGGATTGAGTGGATTGTTGCCGAGATAGTGATCGCCTTGTTCGTCACCCTCAAGACGAGCTCTGGTTCTCCTTGATGTATACTTAGTGATTGAAACTTTAGGTGCCATTTTTGAGAGGTGAGAGATGCATTATAGTGGAACCAATGTCCCCCTTTTAGAGCAAACTTAGATGGTGATCAATGCTTGCTCATTCGTTTGATCCAATGGTTAACCACTAGGAGAACCTATGGTTTTTGTAGAACCAATTAGCATTTAGGTCCATGCATTAATTAACATTTTTGAAGCTCATAAGAGATAATGCATGTGAGATAATTCCATCTTTGTCCCGAAAAGAATATTCTGATAGCAAAGTAACATAGTCAAAAGAACAATTAATAAAGATAGAGAATTTCATTAGAGGAATCAAGCAGAAGTGCCCCAAGCCATACAGATAAGACAAACATTATTCAAAGAAAGCGATAAGGCACGTAAAGCTCCAGACGGGTCGACTCATCAGTCACATCAGGCAAGTTTGCCTTGTTCGCATATTCGTCCAGTTCCTCTAGAGAGAGGGTGTGTAACACCCCAGATTTTCAAGACATTTTAAGCTTATATAATAAAGGTAATATCTCATTACATCCCAAAGTATATCATAAGTGTACGGGGTGCTATGC